TTAACACCCTTCTGGGCTGTTGTCTGTGGCCTTTTAGAGCTATTTCACAAGCTCCGGCCCAGAGGATGGATGCCTTTTCCCGTCGTGCTTTGGGGGGGGGGGTTATGCCCTGAGTTGGTTTTTATGCTCCGCGGACTCACTCTTCTCTATAAAACCATCAGATCTGTGCTCTCTCTTTGTGCTGAGGAAGTGGAGGCTGTAGAAAAAGCTCATAATTCAGCCGGCGTTGGCGAGGTGTGAGCCGGACCTTTAGAGCTCAAACTATCAGCCTCCTTCACCCCGTCGGCAATTCTCAGCATCACAACGCGCACAATAGCTGTGTTACAAACCAACAAAACCAACAAAACCAAAGGGAACCTAGATCTGTGTTTAGATTTTATGCAGAAATATGTTTTTTTTGGACCCCGGTTGGATTTAGCTTTTGGGATTTAAGCACACAAACCTCAAATTTACAGATTCTGATTTCTCCCAGAAGCAGAGTCTGTTATTTTTTATTGTTTTTTTTGCATAAGGAGTTACGGTTTCGACACGTCTGCTTGGTTTCATTCTGCTCCTGGATGCAGAAGCTCGTTCAGGTCTGACATTTAGTCCTTTCTGGTAGAAAACTGAACAATCTGAGGCTGTTTTTTGTTATTCAACCAGCATTATAAATGTTTTATAAGGTGAATTTAAACCCAGATGCAGAAATGACCCTCAGACAGATTTATGTCTGCATCCCTTTATTACTTATTATAATATAAATTATATTGGATTTGGGATGGTTTAATAACAGCCACAAATCAAAGCTCAGAATCATTTTTAAAGGACATTTGATTCCAAAATGTGTGCGTTTGGGTAGCTTTTGGTGCTCGGATCTGTGGTGGTGGTGGGGGGGGTAAACAGAGCTGCAGTGAGCTGTGCGGGGTGTTCTCTGACGGAGGTCACATGACTCCCACAGGCAACGCATCTGAGCCCCGTCCATCTGCTCCCGCTGACCGCCGCTATCCTCAGAGCCAGGCCCACTTTCACAGCATCCTTTAGCAGGCATCCCTCAGAATCAGAGCACCAGGGGATCAGAGGGCCTTTTGTTGTCGTCACACACATGTACAACGAGATTAAAGACCGCGCAAACAGGGCAGAGATATCAGGATATCTGTCAGCAAAAAATATACACACAACATAAACACTATGAGGAAAGGTCCACAGTCCTGGGTGTGTGTAGATTATTATTATTATTATTATTATTATTATTATTATTATTATTATTAT